ATACGATTCGTGTCAAGAAATTTTATTAGCAAAAGCAATTGCAATTGCAATGCTTGTGGTGCAGAAACAACTTTCGTAGGAAAATTCAGTTCAGGGCGTTCCCATCGGCGCTAAGCTCAAGCATAGATACAAGTGCGAGCTTACAGGTGTTGGCGCTTCTACCTGATAAGAAGCAAACCCGTGACGTCAGATCAGCGCTGGTAGAGTATATGAGTCGGCCCGGAGAGACATCCACGTCACTCGTTCTTGAACCTCTTCATTCGTTTGTTCTGCAAAGAGTTATTCATTGGTTATTACATTCCTCGTCGGTTTGTTGCGAGTCCCTTTCATAGCTCCGTTATTCCTGCACATTTCCCAGATAATGAGGTGCACTAAGAGAAAGCTTCGAGCGGAATGTATGTTCATCCTGAAGTCTAGCGCGATCGGTCACGGTTTTGGGATCAGGGGTACTGATTACCGATCAGGTAAGTCATCGTGCTGTCACAAACTTTATCTCAAAGTCGAAAAACGCCAGAAATAATTTGCCACAGAGTTGTTGTAAATGAAATCTAAAAAAGAAAGAAAAAAAAAAAAAATAGAAATGTGTGAATATTTGTATAAAGAGAAGAGAAAAATGTTCTGTTTCATCGAATGGCGCTCATGTTTATCACCGCTGAAGTTCTTGCGACCTCAAGTACTTACAAATGGAATTGCCGCAGCCTTTTCATGTGTAAATTCCAGGGATATAATTGCTACTAGAGAATACACGACATCGGTTTCGCGTTTGAAATAATGATTATGTAACGTACGGGCATCGGCAATGAAACATTTTACAACGACCCCGATAATATTGTTGAATTTTTTTAGACATAGATTTTTTTTTTAGATATTCGTTTCATTACATTGTCTACCGAACAAATTTTTTGATAAGTGAATTTGATAATTTCGGTTACTATTTGTAAATTTAACATTTTCATCGTGATAACTTTATTTTCTCACAAAATATGTAAATAATATCGTAGATGAATTGTAACATCAAATTGAGAAATCTAGTCTGGATCTGTTCTATTAACTATAATAATTTTAATTGATGAACATGCCAGAAGATATGTTGCCATTGATGATGATATTGATACAATTACTGCAGTAAAATAATGTTGGACATGCTCTGTATCTGTAACATCAGAATTGAGAAATGTTAGAACCCGATATCTTTCTAACATTCAATTCTTTGAGTGAAGCGCATAAATGTTTTACATGTTAATAAAACTATACTTTTTCGTAAATAGGTGTACAATTAAGAAGATAACGTGAAATTCATTAAAGTTGGTAAATAAGTTAAAATGATGCAAATAAAATCAATATACAAATAAGGTTTCGCTTCATCTTCTTCTCTCTCGTCGAAAATAATCCTTAAAGTTTTCACAGAAAACAGTTGTTTATAAGCTAATATAACTAATTTTTTATTTCAAGTAAGATACAGCGGGAAAAATAATTAAAATTTTCAATTTATCTTACTGTATTTTCAAGATTACACAGGTTGCTTGGAAATCAAGCACAAATCATTCTATCGAAGAATTTTTGGTAATACCTGTACAAGCCAACTTATTATCGCTTTTATCGCATCGCCTACTGATAACGTGCAATCGTTGGTTTCTCTCAAAGATGATGTTCGATATTTGTCGTCAGATTTAACACAGTGTGTGTTTTTATTGATTCTTCGAGTACGCGATAGTGTTTAAAAGAATACAATATATACGCGTGGACAATTATTGAAGATGCTGAACGTTTCATTATGCAACTTTGTCTATCTTTCCTTTATGCAACCAAATAATGAGGAAAGGCATAAATTTCATTGTGACGTAATACAAATTTAAGACTTATGATATAATTATAAGAGTTTCGCAGTTGAAGGCTACGTACATATAAGGCTATTTATAGCATTATTGCAAGTCACCAATTTTGCAATTATTGTGATTAAATTCACACGAATATAAACATTTTCGGCGAGGTATCATAAACGTCTTAACCATTTAATGTGGATTGACTTAATGATCATGATTTCAAGTGTGAGATTTGAAGCGATAAGCGAAAGAATGAAAGATATGAGAAAAATACGTATACGTACGTAAAAATACGTACTGGAGAATTCTAGTATAAAGAAATATGTATCTGTTTAAGCAGTTGTTCAAAATCAGTAGCAATATCAACTGAATAAATAAAGATTTTGATCTATGATGTTACTTTAGGAAAATTCCCGCGTGCTTATATATTGATTTTAGTCTATTTGGAAATTAATTATTATTTGCTAATTATAAACGATCTAAACTGTTACAGGCACGATAATTTCAATTAACAATATTGAAAGTGCAGTTTTACAAGTTTATAGTTTTGCCTTGATCTTCAAAGCTCTTTCACTATTCTTTAAATTTTAAACTGCTATTAGAATATTTCTAAAATAGTTATGGTTAATTTTTCACCAGGTAATACATTGAGAGTTATCGAGACAATGAATTATTCAAACTTATCTCGGATTGATTAATTAAAAGAATTATCGATCAATTCAGAGTCGAGACCTTTCATATCGTAAGTTTTAACATTACTCGAAATCTGTTTTATTAGATTATACTGTAATCTTTGAACTGTTCATTCAATTAAATCTTGATTTGCAGTTCAATGTATTTTTAGGCTCGAGCGTTCAATAAACGCATCAGGATGAAGAAGAAAAGGAAGTGTTAACGACTTATGGCACGAGCTAACGCACGGAGATTATGTTTACCGCGCAATCAGGTGGTAACGCTAAAGAGGAAGAAGTTACTCGCACCTTCCTGATAACAAGCAAAGCTGCTATGCTCGTGCTAGCTATTCCATGACGGCAATACTTTCTGTCTTTCAGCGTTTCCTTGGCTAACATTATAACAAAATATAAATTGTCTATGTAAATCGAATTTCTTTGTCTCATAGCAGCGTTATTTCAAACGTTCGCCAAGGATAACGGAATTTAATTTATGAAAATCGAAATACCTTTAACTGTTATAACATGCACTAAATATTACATTGCTGATGAAATGTGAAATCTTTAGAGTATTAACATGCAACAAGGAAGAAATTCAAATGCAGGA